CCTTTCCGTAGTCGCACCAGAAAAACGAAGAAAAAAAAAAAAACTCGCCCCTTCCGCCCCCTCCTCGCCCAAACCTCGGCGTCTCCGTCGCCTCCCGCCTCCACGGTCACGTAAGTCGCCGCTTCCCTCTGTTGCGCCTCAACCTCAGCATATATGGGATGCTTCTGTGTCTTCAATGGCCTCCGATTCCCTTCATCTTTCATCACCGTGAAGCCCCCATCTGCTGTTTCCTTTGCTCTTGGTGGCCTGTGCCCTTCAAGTGCTCGATGAAATGCCCAGAGGGCTCTGCTTGCTGATTTTGCATCGGTTCGGTGCCTTCCAGCCATTAGCTTAGGTGCGACCACAGGCCAGGGCCGGACACCTCCTAATGTAAATCGGTCACACAGAGGTAATTTTGTCGTATCAGTGTAGCCCATCAGGTTTAGGGCCTGATTGGTTGCGAGCCAATTTTTGCCAAACCAATTTTAGGGCAGGCCAAAACATAGGTAAACCAATTTTAGGTCAAACCAATATTTTGGTAAGACCGCGGCTAGGTAATTCCATATTTAGATATTCACTCCCCTATGATGTTGCCTGCTTCTATGTCTCTGATGCGAAGTTTCCAAACCATTAATTAACATTAAATAAAGTAAGTTTCTACCTCCATCCAAACACTCAGTAATTGCTATACGTCCCATAGGTTGACATCAGCCTGCTAATGACAGGTCCCTGTGCATTTGCGAAATAGAACAGCACATACATACGAAACCTGCTTCGTTTCATGGACTATTGGAGTTAGGACAGTCAGGTTTTCTGAATGCAAAAACAAAGAGCAGCGCCTAGAGTCAGAATAGATTTTATCCTCATTGATCACCAGGTACTTTTCTATGTTTGTTTAGTTGTTTACTCATGCACAGCATTTTGGCTCATACTCTGTATTAGTCTGGCCAAAGGAGCATGTCAGGATAAAAGAAATATAAAAGTAAAAAAGGAAGACAATTTGGATAGTGTTCTGCCCTTGGTGTCTTTGCCTTACATCTCTATGCCACTCTTAAAACTGGTTTCAGCCATTTGTGTATTCAGATTACTTATTCGTGCAACAAAATAAAGCGATGCGTTCTGTTACTTTTGCCTCCAGCTGCAGCCGTTGTCTGCTTACATTGAGGTCCGAAGCGGCTTAAATATTTGAGTTTTTTTTTTACTACAATACAAAATCTTATTGATCCATCCATGTTTCTGCTTCCATGCTCCACCACATGCTCAGTGTACACCCAACCAAATATCAATAAATTTAGTGTGCAGCTAACCTCATCGGCATTAGGTTGACGCACTACAATTATTAATTTTTCAGATACCTAATCTTCAGAAACACGGTATTTGATGAAAGCATGCTTGCTGAAAAAAATAGATCAATCCTATTTCAGTTTCAAGGCTGGCTGCGACAAGGTAATAATCTGAGCATCGTTAGTTTCATGCTAATCAGGATTTCAGCAGCCATATCATCATCATTTTTCTGTTGCTGTCAAAAATTGGAAGATTCTGTTGCCTCAAAGAATTGCAATGATCTCTTTGGTTTCCTGTATGATTCCATAGCCATGATTGCGCAGGCCTTCCCCACAGGTCATTCCGTGTTTCTTTGTTGGAATTCAGGCTATGTTCTGATATTCCATACCATCCTGTTATTTTCTATATCTGTTCAAACATGGCTGCTCGGTTTAGTGTGCTGGACACACCAGCTTCATTCAGTTCGTCCATTGCTCAATTTCTGTTACAGTTGAGTTGTGCATATGAGTCCTGTTCTAGCATATGAAAGCTAGCTTTGAATTTTCAGACATAGCATGCATGAATTCTAGCACCTGGATGCTCAAAAATAGCATGCTTTCATTTTTTGTTATAATGCAGTTATGCCACAAAAATGTGCATGTCCTGTTCAGGCATGCATGTAAGGTTGGGCATCATGCGTGTAATCATGTTGTGCACAAATACATCGCACATGGTATTCTCCTGCTATGAAAGTGATCTCAAAGACACTGTTGATTTTCTAGCATATGAATTATTTAATATATTATGTCAAGAGCTTGCTGGACCCTTTATTTAGTCAATTTTTTGTGTAGTAGCTTACATTATCTTTGCTTTGCTGCAAATCATCCTTTGTGGACCTGTGAATTTCTTCGCAGGAAAGCAAAACATTCTTTGCTAACTAACCTCACCTGATATGCTTAATCCTACAACAAAGAGGCACATGAACATGTTTTTAGATATGTGCATTTGGTGTTTATGCTGTGATTGTTTAAATATCATCTATTGTTCTTTTTATCTCAAATAGTAAAAGTACAGTGTGGATACCAATATATCATCGCCAAAAGGCAATGAAAGACAAGGAAAAATTTCAGCCTAAATGCAGATGCATGCTACAGTTTTATCCACAAAATTATAAAAATGAAATGAACTATGCATATTATTTTTTTGTTGCATACTATACCAATTTACTGATTATATGCGGTGGTATGATGTTTTGCCTTTGTCGTTATAATGCCTCCCAATTTCTAAATGATCTGTCCTATGACTCAGGTTGGGATTCTAAAAAGTTTGCAACTGATATATTTTTCACATACACTTTCCGTCGTCTTTGTTACGCATTTGGTGTTTGGGCTGGGTACATTCTTTCACATTCCTCTTAATTATAGTGGCAGCTGCAGAATACTCAAAAATTGAACTGCCAATTTCACCACGAAGTAACTGTGACATTACATGCAATCTTCACTTTGTAGACCATCAAGTTTATAGTTTCAATGAAATACAATCATGATTAGTTCATGTCATGTCTGACATTGTACACTTCAAACATTGCCTTCTATGACCCTGTTCGCTTAGAGGAATTTAGAGGAATCCGGAGGAATTTGAGTGAACAGTGTTTTCAGCCGTGAACAGTGAATTCCAGCCGAAATTCAGGGCAGCCGAACGGCCCCATATGTAAAAGCACTGCACTACCCATGGAACCATCAACCTTTATATTAATGCGAGTACCGTGTATGTACATTATGAATGTGATGGTATGTTAATTCTCAGCTGTTACTGCCTGCAGCTTTCCCCCCTCTGTTCTCAATTTCTAATCTGTTTATCGTCTATGGATACCCAATTACTGCTCTTGCTCGCCCCGCGGCAACGCGCGGGGTGCTGACTAGTATTTAGAGTTAGAGGTGCTGACTAGTATTGATTATTGCCATGCCAAATACGCCAAATTGAGCTTTTGTGGAACACAGCTCGGGAAAGAAAGAAACACGGACACACTGAGTAATCACGGCCTATTATCATAAGCTAGCTTTGCCAAACGCGCTACGGAAAAGGTGCAAGGTTGCACGAGAAAGGAAACACAGTGTAGCTGAACGAGGGAACAAAACCACAAAAGGCTCTAGGCAGGCTTTTAAGGGCAACGACGGGTGATGGGCTTGATGGCCCACTTCTATTTTTTCCCCACTGCAACAGCGACGCGCATGTGGTTGGAAAACATCTGCAGTATTGATAATTGCTACGTATGTCTAAGACCAGCACACAACATGCTAAGGATCTGATTGGATGCAAATTATTTTTTAAGTATTAGATAAATAGTATAATTTTACAAAATACTTTAGTTTTTAAAGGTTACTAGGTGTTTGGATGCAACAAAACTTGTAGTCACTGTAGCCTTTTTAGAGTTTTCTCCACTCATGACCTCTTTTTTTCTAAATCACGGTTTTGTCTCTTTAGCTTATGATACTACAGTTTTTAAAAACTGCATCATCCAAAATTAGGCTTTTTCTAGAACACAGAGCTTAGAGGAAAGAAAGAAACACAGAAGACTAGCCTTGGCGGGATCGGCGGCAATGGTGGTCGGACGGACGAGCATGATCGTCGGGTGGCCGGGTTGAGGCTCGCCGCCACAAAGTGGCGCCCGATCTTCCCTGTGCCATCGATCACCAGGATCCTTATCATGTCGTCGTCTATCTTTTGGTAAACTACCAGGGGTTTGTAGGTTCCAGATAGTATGAGAACGCCGCCATCCAACCTCATCACCTCGTCAGGTCGGAGAGAAAAGCTAGTCCAGCGGGACATGTTGCTAGAGAGTTAGCCGTACATTGCAACTCATTAGTCACGTGCTGCACCGTACCTCGACAGCTCTACACAGCTCCACTTGACTAATCCGTGTATGCGAATCTGCCACTACACCACATACTCCGGCTATGTTAATATATCAGTTGTCACGATGAAAAGAAGCAGCAAACACGGAAACATATAGGGGTGTGAATCTATACCTCTTTATAAAGCTAATTGTCATTACAAGCTCTATCTTAACATAAAAGTCATCTCATCATCTCACACTAATTATCAACATCATCTTTTCTCATCGCTAATAGGCATGTCATCCCACTAACTTTCGATTTCTTAATACAAGTTATCCACGTCATCTCTGTATAATTTTATTCCAAAAATTTCACAATCATCTCCACATTATTTGATTCCAAAATTTTCACAATTCCACACCATCGCGCCAGATATCTTCTATTTTTTTTAAGGCAGTAACGTGGGGCCGCGAGCTTTGGCCACGTGGCTTGTCTGTGCTCGTCCAGCTTTAGCCCAAGAGATCACGGCAAAGCAAGCAGGCCGGAGTATGTGGTGCGCAACGGATGAAGGGCCCATCTAAATCATTCCGGCCTAACGATAGACCCTGCTGCGCATTATTGAAGTCCCCCCAGTCACCAATACCTTTTGACGCAGTCCGCGGCCCGCGGCGTCCAGGCCCCACAACCACAACACAACGGTCAAAAGCGCAGGCATCCGAATCCGATGCGTGGCCCTCGGCGACCGGACCAACCGGTCTTCAGCTTCTTCACCGCCACGCGCCGGGCGTGACAAGGAAAGGAACGGGCGCCGCCTCCGCTCCCCTCGCTCTCCCTCCCCATCACACATCCGCGCCGCACTTTCACCCTAGCTCACTCACTCTCCCCACCTCCCCCCTCTCCCGATCCCCACCCACGGCCTACATGGCGTACTACTCGGGCGGCGGCAAGCTGTCGGCGGTGGACGCCATCCTGGCGGAGGCGGCGGACCTGGTGGCGCTCGAGCAGATCGCCAAGCTCAACACGGCCCACCTCGCCGACGACTCCGCGCTCCCGTCCAGCCTCGAGGTCCGCTTCCGCAAGCTCAAGTCCCTCCCCTCCGCCGCCGCACCGCCACCCGTCAGGACCCTCACCCGCAGCGTCACCGCGCCGGGCCCCGCCGCCGCTCTGCCCGGCCCCAACCCTCCCACTCCTGATCCCGCTCCGCCTGAGCATCCGCCGGCGGTCCACGAAGACCCGCCGCTGCCGCTGCCGCTGCCGGGAGACGCGGAGACGAATGGCGGCGAGTCCTCGCCGCGGCAGGCTCGTGCTCCGGCCCCCGCACCCGCGGCCCACGACGACGCCGACGACGCCGAGGACCTGGAGCGGCTGTTTGGGTCGGCGCCGCGGGGGCGGCCGACGCTGCGGGAGCGGAACAGGGGGAGGGACTCCTCCTCCGCCTCCCCCTCGCCGCCGCCGCCGCGTCAGGCGTGCTGCTTCGGCTTCTCCCCCAAGAAGCCCTTAGAGAGGACGCCGTCGTCCAAGGGCAAGAAGAAGGTCCACCACAGGTCCGGCAACGGCGACGTTCTCGGCGTCGACTCCGGCGAGTGGGGCGACGAGAACAGGAGGATGGCCACCGAGCTCAGGGAGCAGCAGCGCAGGCTCAGGAAGGCGCTGGAGGACCAGGTGCAGGTCAGCAAGGAGACCGCCAAGATGGCTCGCTGGGTCAAGCAGGCGTCCGCGCGCATGACGCATGTCGAGGCCATTGACGACCTGCTCAGTGATTGCGAGGACGATGAGGAGCTCAAATGAGCTCTCGCCGACGCTGCTGCTTTTGCCTGTCTTCCTCGTCGGTTGTTCCACTGTCTTGATGATCACAAATCTGTCAAAATGCTTATATTTTTACTAGTTCTAATATAGAAGAAGCAGAGAGTCATGAAACAATGCTGTTATTTTTATGTCACATATTATTAGGATCAAGCAAAATATAATGAACTGATGGAGTATGTAAGGATTCCATGGGTGCTGCTGATATAGGAATGGAGAACCTACTATTGTGAAAAAGATTTGATCATGTGTTTCTTTTACCATTCTGTATACATTATGCACGATGAAGCCCATAATAACAAAAAGAAATCTCGTGCAAGAGTTAATTCAGTAACCATGAGAGAACCCAAGTATTTACACTTGGCTATTCTAATTTTAGTAGCGCATCAAGTATTTACAATCTGTCAGTATTGAATCATAATTGCTTGATCCTACTTTGAATATACAGCCTTTTAGCACAAAAATAGAATTTAAGCAGCATAATGTGATATGAAGCAGAGTAAAAAAATAATTGGCATTATAAATAGTGATGAAGATGCAGTTGTCTACACTCTACCACTTGATAGATAGCTGATTGCATAAGCTACATACAGTTGGGTCCAGTTACACAAAAGTCAATAACCAGAACACCTAATGTTTTCAGCAATTCCTTGTCACGCCAAGTTCCTAATAGACGACTCAGAACGAAAGCAACGTGAGGAAATTCCACAATGTCGATGTACTTCATTTCCAGAGATGTCCGTGATTCAATATTTCATATCTTTATCCCTGGTAGATAGTCTTGCCTTAACCATAACCCTGACTATGTACAAAGGCGAAAAAGAATACCAGTTTATCCTGCGCTGCAACAATAAAAATTAATGTCCAACATAAACATTCAAGGGGGCTTGGATATACATAGTTATTGGCTTGATGCTGTGACCATCCCAAACTTTGCAGGCAACGCATATTTCTTCTGAGAAGGTTAAAACACGTCAAGCCACTTTGCAAGCAGAATTTCCAGTTGGATCAACATTTTTCACGCCTCAGAAAAAGAAACCAATGGTGATGACCGCCCCTAAAGATTCTGCAGGGCCATTCAAGACAGGAAGTAGCCTGAGCAAGAAAGGAAAGAATTTTGGGTCATTTACTGGCACCCTTTCAGGCTCTGGTAAATCTGTCCCAAATGAATCTAGAAAGAATGCCAAATATGCAGCAAGAGATTCTTCTCAGCCTCTCAGGTGCGTGCAGCTCAAGGAGGCGGGCATGAAAGGGGTGGGCGACACTGAAACAGATAGCTGAGAAGGATGACCTCGAAAAGGAGAAGGTAGGTAATTTTGCAATCCCGTTCTTCATACAGTAGGTGATTCTGGTTGGATGTGCAAAATCCCACTGCAACAAATTCTAATGTTGCATGCAACATAGAGCATTTTGAATCAAGACAGCTCAAGTGGAATGGGTGTTTGCCTGCATGACGCATGCAGTGGCCATTGACGACTTGCGAAGAGTGTCTCTATCCTTGTCACACTCACACCAAATTCCTAATGACTCAGAAAGAAAGCAACTTGTAAGGAACTTCCACAACGTTGACGCACTTCATTTGCAGAGTGTCTTTAACCTTCTCGCTGTTGATGGCTAAGTACATTTTCTGATTGTTCTTATGTTTATGCCTGATAGTCTTGCCTTGACCATAACCCTGACCAAGTACAAGGGTGAAAAGCATACTGGTTTATCCTGCGCTAAAAATTAATGTAAGTAATGCTTCATAGTTTGCTTAAGTGAAGACCTGCGTCAGTAAACCCTATACCTTGTCCATTCTTCTGTTCAACATAAACATTCAGGAGATTTGGAAATACAGAGTTCTTAGCTTGATGCCATGACCATCCCAATCTTTGCAGGCATAGTGTTTTCCAACATTGGAGAAAATAGCAGTACTGGATCATCTGCATGTATCAGACCTTCAATCTGTATGATGAACACGGTTGGACTCATATACTCTGCCTTTAAAGTAGAGACGAAGTATTAACTGATATATTGAGAAAAAAAAAGTATGCCTTCAAAGTTGAAAGGGAAATGGTGATGGGCATGGGCTTAGCAGCCGGAAACATGGAACGTGGCTACATTTCTCGTTCTGGGAACAATCACATTCCTTTTCCAGCAACATTTGTGTTCCCATAGTACAAGTACAATATAAAATATAGCTCCACGTTCACGTTGCCGTTCCATGTTCACGTTCCCTACTGGGAACATGGCTGCTAAAAGGGCATGGGCAAATGGCAAAGCAACACTTACATATTCCATGGTTAACTACAGAAGTAGATGGCCGATGGTCTAATCAAAATGTTATCTCCAGCTATTTTTTGCATCCAAACCCAGCAGTAGATAAATTAGTTAAAAAAAACTGAAATACCTAATTGGAGTTGGAACAACTTAATGCAAAATGGTAATCAATACTGTAGTGTTATCAGAATAGAAAATCTAGAGAAGCGACCATGTATAAGTCAAGGTGTAAAACTAATCACCTATCCTTTGTTTGCTCTGCATCATGCATGTGTAAGCAAAAAGGGAGGTGGCCGGTGGGGGTCCCTGAAGTTACAAGCATTGGCAATGGACCAGTTAGAATAGCAGGGGTTCCAAATTCAATAGATACCTGTCAAAGCATTTTGCATACATCATCACTCATCCATTGTATTCATCCTTAAAGCACAAGTCATCTGAAATGAAATACTTACATCCTCTTTGTTCCAGAATTACGTTTGCTTCATGTAACATTTCTCTGGCTTTTCTATCAGGAGTGCATCCAGCACGTTCCATTTCCTTGTATACCTCAGATACCTACACAAGCAGCAGTAGCAGCAACAACAACAACAAAGTCTTTTAGTCCTAAACAAGTTGGGATAGGTTAGAGTTGAAACCCAACATGAGCCCCTAGTCACGGTTCAGTCACGTCAATAGTTGTTTTCCAAGCACTCATATCTAAATAAAGATTTCTAGGTATATCCCAACCTTTCAAATCTTTTTCTATTGCCTCCCCCCACGTCAGCTTCGGTCTTCCTCTACCTCTCATCGCATTGATATCTCGACTTATGACTCTACAATGCATTGGTGCCTTTGGAGGTCTCCTTTGGACATGGCCAAACCAGCTCAACCGATGTTGATCAAGCTTTTCTTCAATTGGAGCTACCCCTAGCTGGTCACGAATATCATTGTTCCGAACTCGGTCCGTCCTTGTGTGACCACAAATCCAACGCAACATACCTACGCAAGCTAGGAGCAGAATTATTTCAATGTTTTCAGACTAATTAATCAAATACACACAATAAGATCAGATGATTTTATATTCTACCATCCTAATCAAGAACACAGAAGCCCAAACACACAGAATGAAGCCCAATACAGAATGCCAAACAAAATAACACTGAAATTGGGATGGAGAACCTACTATTATGAAGCCCAAAATAACAATGAAATTGGGCACGATAGTTAATTCAGTAACCATGAGAGAATTAACTATTTACACTTGGCTATTCTAATTTTAGTATTGCATCAAGTATTTACAAGCTGTCAGTATTGAATCATATTTGCTTGGTCCTACTTTGAATATACATCCTTTTAGCACAACAATAGAATTCAAGCAGCATAATGTGATATGAAGCAGAGTAAAAACACAATTGTCATAATAAATAGTGAAGATGCCGTTGTCTACACTCTACCACTCGATAGATAGCTGATTGCATAAGCTACATACAGTTGGGTCCAGTTACACAAAAGTCAATAACCAGAACACCTACTGTTTTCAACAATTTCTTGTCACACCAAGTTCATAATAGATGACTCGGAACGAAAGCAACGTTAGGAAATTTCCACAATGTCGATGTACTTCATTTCCAGAGTTGTATATATCCATCTCTGTTCATGATTCAAAATTTCATTCTTTATCTTTATCCCTGATAGATAGTCTTGCCTTAACCATAACCCTGATTATGTACAAAGGCGAAAAGAATATCGCTTTATCCGGCACTGCAACAGTAAAATGGATGTAAGTAATGATTCATTGTTTGCATAAGTGCAATGTGCAAACCGGCATTGGTAAACCCGATACCTTTTTCACACTTTTGTCCAGCATAAACATTCAAGAGCCTTGGAAATACAGAGTTATTGGCTTGTTGCTGTGACCATCCCAAACTTTGCAGGCAATGCAGTTGATGAACAGATGCATGAAACTGAGCCTATTTCTTCTGAGAAGGTTAGAATACGTCAAGCTACTTTGCAAGCAGAACTTCCAGTTGGATCAACATTTTTCACGCCTCAGAAAAAGAAACCAATGGTGATGACTGTCATTAAAGACTCAGCAGGACCATTCAAGACAGGAAGTAGCTTGACCAAGAAAGGAAAGAATTCTTGGTAATCTACTGGCACCCTTTCAGGCTCTGGTAAACATGTCCCAAATGAATCTACAAAGAATGCGAAATACTCCTTCCGTTCATAAAAGAATGCAATTCTCGCTTTTCAAGAAGTCAAACTATTTGAACTTTGACTGAATTTGTATAAAAAAGTATTAACATTCATGATTCAAAATAAGTAACATTAGATTCGTTATAGAATATATTTTTATAATAAATTTATTTGGAGACATAAATGTTAAAAAGACGTACCCAGTGCAGAGAGCTCCCGCTTTCTGCAGGGTCTAGGGAAGGGTGTCAGTGGCAAGCCTTACCCTCGCTTGTGCAATGCGAGAAGACCGCGACTCGAACCCGGGACCTTCCGGTCACAGACGGTAAGACTCTACCGCTTGCACCAGGCCCGCCCTTCACATAAATGTTAATATTATTTAAAATAAACTTGGTCAAACTTGGACTAGTTTGACCAGCACGCTTTCCATAATTGCATTCTTTTGTGAACGGAGGGAGTACACAACAAGAGATTCTTCTAAGGTGTCTGGCAACTCAAGGAAGCGAGCAATAATGGGGTGGACAGCAGGGTTTTAAATTTGGTTATTAAAAAAATTCAGCCACCCTGAAATTACCAAAATTCGCGAAATTCAGATGAAATTTCACCGATTTTTTTAATAGACTTGCACATGGAGTATGCTTTTCTAAAAAAATTTAGATCTAAACAAATATTAGCATGGTTTATGACTACACATCTATTGAGTAGAAAAATATGCAACTTTTTTTGCAGCCAAAAACAACCATTATACAGTGCTAGCAGAGAGAGATTACAGCTGCTCCGGCTGCAAATAAGCTGCAATACTGGCAGCCGAACAGGGAGCTTGGAAGGGAACAGAGACTCAGAGAGAAGCTGCAACCATATTCTGCGACTGGGCCCAAATAACTCCTGTAATGTAAGCCCATTCTACAAAGCCCACAGCGGGCAAACCCTCAGGCTCCAAACCCTAGCGCCCCCACCCATCAGCCTCGCTACTCTATAAAGCACCAAACCCTAGCGCCCCCATCCATCAGCCTCGCAGTCATCCCCGACAAGGAGCCGCCGCCGCCGCCGCCGCGCAAAGCCGCTTCGACGCCGTCACTCCTCCTCGGGGCGCAACCATGGTGGCCGCAAAGAAGACGGTACCCATCTCCCGCTCTCTCACATCTATCCCCCGTATCTCGACCACAAGCCCACGTTTCTCCCACCTTTTCCGTCGATCTGCTGCCGTCTTCCGGGCGACAGTACGGCTTGCTGCTTCATTCCGCCTGGTCGCGTTTCTAGTCTTGCAAATACTGTTCTAAGCTTTATTTTTCCATTGTTGGTGGTTTTGTGCAGAAGAAGTCGACGGACAACATCAACAACAAGCTGCAGCTTGTGATGAAGAGCGGCAAGTACACGCTCGGCTACAAGACTGTCCTCAGGACCCTCAGAAACTCCAAGTGTAAGGAAGCTCTCCCTTGTTGTTCTGTTTCATGCGTAAGGCTACTTGTATCTTAGATTAACTCTTTAGGAAGGTGAATCGGTGCCTGTGGATGTATGCCTATGTTTCTAGATCGTAGGTAGTAGATTAATCCTGTGGGATGGTCTAGTTGTTCTTTTCTGCTCACCGTAGATTAGAATTGGCCATGGCCACTCTATGAATAGATGTGATAACCATTAGTTTTACTAGCTTGTTCATGTGGGCTTAATGTTATTGATTTCTAGCTGGTAGGGGCATCTATGATTATGCAGAGTTACTTGTACCTCTTGCTATTCTAACTGAAGTGAACATTTTTTACATGTCAAAATGGGAATGCAGCCTTGAGAGAAGGAGAATAGGGCCTTGGGTTCATGACCTCAGCCACTATAATGATATGGCTACATGGACGCCCACCAAAATATTCTCTGGACAATGTATTTTCTGGACATGTTATCTGATTGTTTTTCACCTCTATACCTTAATGTTATTAGTGGAGGATATGATGACCCTTTCCCCAGATGATCGACAGTGAACATACTGAGCGCTATAATTTCTCTTTTGAGAAACCAAGCCAGAATTCTGATCCTCCATTAATGCAGAAAAAATCATTCTGAATTTCGTGTAGTGCTTGTTTTGTTGCCTCTTTTCAAAATTGATTCCTCTTTTTGTATTTTTTTTATCTCTTAATCTCTTAACTGAGTTGCATACTCTAGAGGATGTGATGACCCTTTCCCCAGATGATCGACAGTGAACATACTGAGCGCTATAATTTCTCATTTGAGAAAATCAAGCCAGAATTCTGATCCTTCACTATGCAGAAAAAATGATTCTGAATTTCATGTAGTGCTTCTTTTGTTGCCTCTTATCAAAATCGATGACACTTTTTGTGCTTTTTTGTTCTCTTAACTGTGTCACCCACTTCAGAGGACATGATGACCCTTTCCCCAGATGATCGACAATGAACATACTGAGCGCTACAATTTCTCATTTGAGAGAACCAAGCCAGAAATCTGATCCTCTGATTGTTTTTTGAAACTCTGATTGTTTTGTTGTTTCACTTCTTCACATGTCGATGTATTGATATTCTTAGTGTTCTGAATTCATCTGTTAGCTTACACAGTCTGTTGTCACCGCTTGCTCTTTTGAAGTAACTATGTATTCTAAATAGTTATCTTTAATATGTGACTGGCATTTGAGTTTTGCGTTGCAAACTGATTACCAATGGATGAATTTAGATGGCCATTGTGTATGAGTCAACGCCATAATAATCCCCTCCCCATGTCCATATATGTTACCAGTGCATGATATCACTGGTTGAGCACGAGTGGAGATATCTTACTAATTTATAGTTATAATTTTGCTTTATAGTGTTTTTGTGGAATATGTTGTGTACAATTGTTTTGAATATCTCCTGTCTAGGCTTTTATTAGATGGTGTAATGTAAACTCCTTTGCTTTTCCTAACTGAGTACATACAAAATTATACTGTCTGCCTTTTACAATAGAATTTGTGCAGTATCATTTGTTATATAGCATGCAATATTCCTAAATCAATCTATTGATTAACAGCAAAGCTAGTGATCATTGGTAACAACTGTCCTCCGCTCCGGAAGTCTGAAATTGAGTACTATGCTATGCTGGCTAAGGTCACAGTCCACCACTTCCATGGAAGTAAGTTAGCATCCCTTACTTTTGGTTCTTTTAATCGATGTTGCATATGATCTAATGAATTGTTGAATTGTGAACTGTCAGTAGGCATGGTACCTTTTCATTTAGCCCCTGATTCACATGTATTGTTTTGTAATGTCTAGCCAGTCGCAGAAAAGCACAAGAATCAGTGGAGCTAGGGACCATGTCACCCCATGCATCTTAATGCAAGATATTAACAAAATCAACTGAAAAGATCATTTTGGCTTCCATAAACCCATAGTTATTACTAATTGGCTCCCCTGAAAATATATTTCTGGCTATGTCCATGACAAGAATTTACACTGTAAGGTAGTGACTACCATTCTTTGCTTGGAGGAATAACTAAATGATGTGCATAGTTATTTTGAGACAGGGTTGTTTGTCTATGCAATTAACTGTTTTTACGACAGTACTTAAATTAACTGCAATTTGTTGTTTCCCAGACAATGTTGACCTGGGAACAGCCTGTGGAAAATACTTCCGTGTCTGCTGCCTCAGTATTATTGATCCTGGTAAATGGCAACTCCATATCACAGTTCAATTTGATGTTTTGATCAAAATATGGATATGAAGAGTGATTGTATTCTGTTTTCAGGTGATTCTGATATCATCAAGACTATGCCAGGTGAGCAGTAAGGAAGCCACACCAGTAGTACACGGCACCTGGCTTCCGAACTCTTAGTGTTGTAGTTGATCTTCTTGCTGGACTTGTCCTTATTGTGTTACGACAGAATTTACCTGACTGTAAACAGATCGTGGGAATATTTTCTTGGATTGAAAATTTTGTTCCTGGCAATTGGCATTGTTGAATGGATCTTATGCTGAATGTGCTCCTCGGGTTAGAGCTGTTAGTTTTCATTTTGTTCCTGGCAATTGACATTATTGTTAAATAGATCTTATGCTGAATGTGTTCCTGGCAATTGACAGAACTTTCCTACATTGGTATTGTCCTTGAACAGAACTTTCTTGGGCGACCCCTGAACATTCAGTTGGGCATCGGTTTTAGAGGACTGGTAACCTCCTGTCCTACGCCTTTCGCCCCCTTCTTACCCTCATCACTACATCTTTCCTCCTGCTACCTTTCCCCCGAGTTGCTTGTCCACGGAAGCCACTTCGTGTTTTCCTGGCCCTCGCCTAGATCCAGAGTAACCACCCTCATCAAGCCGATAGCCATATCAGTGTCATCTGCATCAACTTCCATGACCTCCCCGATCATCTCACCAATCAGTTCCCCATCCGTCTTGTTCATCAACCCCAAGGGCATTTTCAGCACTCTCATCCAGATCAGAACTGAGTTGAACTCAATCTCATCTATGGTTTTGGCGCCATCAAACTCCGCCATCACCACCAAGTCCTTCTCGAACATCCACGGACCGTCCTCCAGAGCCCTCCTTTTCACCGGCCCTTGCAGGAAAGTGAAGAGGGATCAGTTTCCCCCAGATCTTTGCACCACGCCCCGAAGAGGACACCAGATCTTGCCAAGGGAAAGTTCCAAGGATTCCGCTCGCACGTTTTTTCAACCATGACCTTCCCACACCATGGATCGCCTCTGCTGCGATCCTATAACCGCACCGTAGAGCCTGATGCTCTTCCTCTCCGTTGCCGACAGATTCAACTTCTCCAGGAGGCCGATCACCTTCTCCGCCATGGCGGCACACCCCCAAGGACCAGGGTCAAGAACCCTAGCCTTGGCCTCCCAAAAAGCAACCGGCTAGCAGATTGGTCTGGGCTCCTGATGGAGAATCTGAAGTGGACACGAATGGAGTATGGGATTGTGGACACAGGGACAGTTTCCAGGAAGAAGATCTGACCAAGGAACAAGAGGAGAACGGAAAACCCTAGTCGACTTGGGTACCCCTCTCGAGTCGCCTAACCTAGGTGCCGAGACCGGGTGTCCACTTGTCTTTGATCTCCAACTGCATCGATTATGCAGTTGGGATAAAAGAAATACGAGGTTACCAAATTCTGGTTGGATGCACAAAATCCCACCGTTCTAATGTTGCAGGCAACATAGAGCATTTTGAATCAAGACATAAGGAGCTCAAATGAGCTCACACCATTGACTGTCTTGATGGCGACAAATCTACCAAAATGCTTATATTGCTACTCGTTCTATCAGAGTCAGGAAAGAATGCTGTTTTCTCTCTCTTAATTTTATGTTATTGTTAGCATCAAGCAAAATTTATGATCTGATCAAGTATGTAAGGAGTCCATCAGTGGTAATATACGAATGGAGGAACTACAATCCTGATGAAAAAGGTTTGATCATGCGTTTTTTTTAATTCTGTGTAAATTATAAGTGTGATGAAGCCCATAATAAATAAACTCAATAATAACAGCGTGAAATTAGGTGCAGTTAATTCAGTAACCAGGACAGAATCAAATATTTACACTTGGCTATTCTAATTTTAATAGTGCATCAAGCCATCAAGTATTTACAGTCTGTTTATTAGGACTGAATCATAATTGGTTTGTGCTACTTTGAATTTACAGTATTTACAATTGGCATTATAAATAGTGAACATACAGTTGTATACACTCTACCACTTGGTAGTTGATTACATAAGCTACCATGTAGCTGCTTGGATACAGTTACATAAGAATCAATAATCAAAACAGCTAATGTTTTCAGCAATTCCTCGTCACACTCACCAAATTCCTAATATATGACTCAGAAAGAAAGCAACTTGTAAGGAACTTCGACAACGTTGATGTACTTCATTTTCAGAGTGTCTTCTCGCTGTTCATGGCTAAGTGTATTTTCTGATTCATACTTATGTTTATGCCTGATAGTCTTGCTGTGACCATAACCCTGACTAAGTATAAGGGTGAAAACTATACTCGGTTATCCTGCACTACAACAGTAAAAAGTAATGTAAGTAATGATTCCTAGTTTGTTTAAGCGAAAACCAGCACTGGTCAGCCTCATACCTTTTTCACTCTTCTGTTCCACGTAAACATTCAGGAGTCTTGGAAATACAAAGTTATTGGTTTGATGCCATAACCATCCAAACCTTTGCAGGCATAGTGTTTCCCAACGTTGGAGAAAATACCAGTACAGGATCATCTGCATGTACCGGAACATTCAATCTGTATGATGAAACACAGTTAGACTCGTACTCTGCCTTTAAAGTAGAGATGAAGTATTAATTGATATATTGAAAAAAAAAGTATGCCTTCAAAGTTGAAATGGAAATAGTGATGGGCATGGGCACATGGCAAAGCAACATTTACATATTGCATGGTTAACCACAGAAGTTGATGGCCAGACTTCCATGGTCTAATCAAAATGTTATCTCAGCTACTTTTTGCATCAAATCCAGCAGTAGAAAAATAAGTAAAAGAAACTGAAATGCCTACTTGGAGCTTGGAACAACAATGCAAAAATGATAATCCATATTGTAGTGTTATCAGAATAGGAAAACTAGAGAAGGGACAAGGTATAAATCAAGGTGTAAAACTAATTGCCTACCCTGTGTTTGCTCTGCATCATGCATGTGTAAGCAAAAAGGGAGGTGGGGTCCCTGAAGTTACAAGCATTGACAATGGACCGATTACAATAGCAAGGATTCCAAATTCAATAGAAACCTGTCAAAGCATTTTGCATACATCATCACTCATCCATTGTATTCACCCTTAAAGCACAGGTCATCTGAAATGAAATACTTACATCCTCTTTGTTCCAGAACTACATTTGCATCATGTAACATTTCTCTGGCTTTTCTATCAGGAGTGCATCCAGCACGTTCCATTTCTCTGTATACTTCAGATACCTACTCAAGCCAAGAGCAGAATTATTTCAATGTTTTCAGATTAATCTGGCACATACAATAAGATCAGTTAATTTTATATTCTACCATCCTAATAAAAAACAACAAAATATTGAAGCCTATATTCAAGAGCTGAAAACAAGACCTTTCATAAGCATTACCAACAGTTAAGGTTCTGTGCATGTTACCATGCGTGGCTATTCTAATTTCACAAAAAAAGGAGATAAAGTGGCAGACCTTTTCAAATTTCTTTGCTCTCATGAATGTTTTCATAAGCGTAGTGTATGTCACAACATCTGGGCTCATACCCTAAGAAAAAAGAACAGGTAATTATAGGAGTGCAAAGAAAGCAAAACATCATAAACTTGAAACAAGATTTGAAAAAAAAACATTTTCATCTCATTTCTAGATGAGGTACATACACTATCCTTGATATGCTGGAATACAGCTAGTGCCTCCAAATGCCTTCCAGCAGTGCCAAAAGCGTTGATTAACAAATTCAGCATAACAAGGTTTGGCTCAAATCCTTCTTCCTCCATTAACTGAAGTACATTTACAGTTTGTTCACACAACCCCTGAAAGAGAAAGGGAACACCTTGACTCCTTGAGTAAGCAGCCAACATGATTCACGTGGGTCGAAACATGTGCACAAGGACAGGCAGATATCGATGTTCTACTGACAAATTAATCCTCTCTCCCCTAAGGAAAAGGCAAATGCAGAAAATAGTTGAAGGTTGTATGGCATTGACCTACTGCAGTGGGCCAAGCTTATTAATTGTACTTAACAAAAAACTGAATGTTGGTTCTCAAATGCACTATATCCTAAAGAATCCTGGTCCAGCTACAGTGCTGAAACAGAAGGGGGGAAAGTACATCAGCTCAGTCATAATGTCATATAACTTCTGTCTAGAAAAATGCAGCACTGCTTGTCATGACTCATCATACTGCTATTTTATTTCTCAGAGCAATGCCTATCAACTTCGTCAGGATTTATTAATATCAGGTGTTGTAGTGAGTACTGACCAGATAAACAAAGATATCCGAGATCCAGTTAAATTATTTACGGATGTCGTGGATACAGTGTCCAGAATATCATGTTTGCAAACCTAGAAATGGTATATCTTATATTCTAAAAAGAACAGAAGAAAATATTTCCAAAGCCAGAAATGGTGCATCTTATTCTCTCAAATAACAAACTGTGAATCCTTATTCAAGGTTTACAGCATTACTGCAACATGCTTTCATACAATGTTAGAATGTAATCAAAGGCATTTGCAACTATATTCAGTTTAAATATGGTGGAAAAAACTATCATGCCATGAGGCAAAACCGCAAAATTGATTTAAACCAAGTTTAGTAGTTAGACTGACCTGTTGAGAATAAGCATTGGCAAGGACACAAAACACACGAGGCGAAAGCTGCGTATTCTCAGCTCTAAGAGCATCTATACACTCCCGTGCATCACGAAAATGGCCATATTGCCCGTAAATGTCAACCAATACTGCGTACACTGCACCGCTCTCCTTGAAACCTCGATTCTTCATGCCATCAAACAGCTTCTTGATCTCATCCCACTTCCCAAGCTCCCCCAACCGGCTGATGATCATAACAAATATCTTCGGGTCCGGGTACATCCCTTCCTCCTGCATGGAGGTGAAGAACCGCAGAGTGCGTTTCATGTTCCCCACCCGACAATGCCATCGAATCAAGGCATTCCAAGTCGATATATCCGGCTTGACGCCTTCGGCGCGCATTTTATCAAACACCCTGCGCGCGTCCGCTAGCTGTCCATACTTGCCGAACGTATCGATCAGGCCGCTGTAGATCTTAACATCCAGCTCCACCCCAACCTCCTGCATCTCCATGACGAGGTCGGTGGCCTTCTTCCACATGCCATTGTCCCGGTACAGCCGCACGAGCACGCTATACCCGGCGGTGTCGAGGCGGATGCCCCGGCGCCTCATCTCGCCGAGCACCCACCACGAGTCCTCGAGCCGGCCGGCGCGCGCGTACGCGCCCAGCAGGAGCGTGTAGGTGCGTCGGTTCCTGGCGACGCCGTCGTCGGCCATCTGGAGGAGGAGGCGGTCGGCGAGGCGGAGGCAAGCGGCAGCGAGCAGGCCCTCGAGGAGCGCGTTGTAGTGCGCGGCGTCCGGGCGCGGGCCGAGGCGGCGCATCTCGAGGAGGAGCGCCTCGGCCTCCAGCGCGCGGCCCGCGCGGGACAGCGCGCGGATGAGGCGCGCGTACGCGCCGGCGCTCGGGCGCGCCCCCGACGCCTGCATGTCGGCGAGGAGGTCGAGGGAGCGCGCCAGGTCGGACCCCGCTTGGGACTGGATGGCGCGGTCGTACCACTCCCAGGGACGCTCCTGGTGGTGGTCTGCTTCGGCGGCGGAGCAGCAGCAGCGGACCACGGCGCTGGCGACGCGGCGGTGGCGCCGGCGGCTGGGAATTGGAGGCGCAATGAGCGGGAGCTGTAGTGGCCGTGGCAGATGGCGGCGGACGAGGGAGCAGGCGTCCATGGAGATGGAGCGCGCGGCTCACTCGCGGTCGCAGTGGCAGTGGCTTGGCTTCGACGGAGGTGTAACTGGACTGTTGGGGAGATTTAACTTTTAACCCATATAAGAATTGACTCCTCGTAACGGTTGTCACAACAATTTTACCAATGAAAAATGAAAGTAGATAAAAAATAATACTTTTGCTCATGTGGCACACCAACCCTTACGCAAGCACAGATCAAGTCAGTATACGCGTGTGAAATGTCTCTCCTGCCCTTGTCCATCAGCGGTTCAGGCTCCGGTTCACCGTTTGTTTCGATCTCATCCGTCCTTGCCGCAGCCGTCCTTGGCCGCCCACGCCTCGCAGGCCCCCGCATAGCTCCACAAAAGCATCTTCCACCGCCCGCTCCCCCGTCCGCTCCGCACTCCGATCTCCCCCACTCCGATCCCGCGGCCATGGATCCGGCGCCGCAGACGCACCCGATCCTCTCCTACGTGCTCTCCCGCATCCCCACCCTCGCCAAGCCCAACAAGGCCCCCACCTCCTCCGAGTTCGACATCGAGCAGCCGCCCGTGCACACCCCATCCCCGCGGACGACGTCGTCCTCCCCGTCCGCGAGGGAATTCGAGCTCGTCGAGTGCATGTCGGGGCTGCGCCACCCGCCCGTGCTCCGCGCCATGATGCGCGTCGTCTCCGCCGTCGCGCGCCGCGCTCCAGGTGCTCGGCCCGCGCCCCGACCACGAGCTCATCGACTCCTCCCGCGCCATCGTGGCCGCCGCCGAGGCCGGGGACACGCGGATCCCCGAGGCCGACGCTGAGGCGTGCCGCGCGGTGGTGCGCCTCGAGGAGACCCACGACGCCTACGAGGCCCTCCTGCACGAGGCCGAGGCTAGGCTCGAGAGGGTGTACCGCTCCGCGATGGAGGGGACGGACCTAGACGACGACGAGGCGGCGGCGGAGAGCGGTAAGGGTGAAGGGCCGACGGCAGCGGGGCCTGAGGGCGGGGCCGGGGACGCGGCCGTGCAGGAGGAGGTGGCGGCGGACACGCCCAGGCCCAGGTGCCCCGCGGCACCTCTGGCAGAGCTTCCCCACGGCGCCTATGCGCGCCATCTCCCGCAGCACCTCAGGGGACGCGGCCCAGCCGCCCACGGCCACCAGCCCGCGCACGGCGCACGCGTCGGCGGTCGCGGACACGCACAGCTCCTCCAGCAGCGCCCTGGCCGGCTCCGTCACCATGCACTGGATCGAGCGCGCCGGCGTCCACCATGCGCTGCCAGGATATGCGAGGCCCGTGCTGGAGCAGAGCGTCACCTCGCCCAAGCACGCGCCCTGCGTCACCACCAGGCGGAGCGCGCGCTTGAGCACATCGGCTTCGTCGTCCACGGCTTCGTGTCTGCATCTCCGTTGAACTCCTCGTCTCCGTCTGAGGCCGCCGACGGCAACCACGCAGCCGCGGCCGCGCACCTCGCGGTCCTTAAGATTCCGCGCGAACCCCCGCGGGGACACGGAACAGAGGCTGGTGGCTATGGTGGCGGCCGCCCTATCCCCGGCGAACCTGCGTGACGAACTGCGAGCGTGTGCAGGAGGCGGTGGAGGCGTGCGCGGTGGCTCTTCGTGATGGTTCAGGGGCAACCATGGTCATTTGCCACACCTCGCTGACTCGGATCCAACCTGGAGTGCATTGCTGGTGTGCCACGTGAGCAAATGTGGTATTTTCGTATGACTTTTCTTGCTCTGCTGATAAAATTGTATTGATAATCGTTAAAGTGTTATTTGAGGAGGTGCCAATTGTTATAATGGTAAAAAGTTAAATCTCCCGACTGCTGGTGTTGGAACCGTTGGGGATTGAGAGCTGCATACCAACTCTGAGGTCTGAGTTGCTGGGGAAAAAACTCAGGTCTGAGGAGTTGCCTGATATACTAGTTTTGAGCCCAACCGCAGTTTTTTCCGGGGAAAACTGTACGTTTGTTTAAAAAAAATCCATGCATAAATAAAACAACTTAAAATAAGATAGTCTGTAGTTTTTATTTTCCTTTCATGAGTATTGTATTTAATGATAGTGGAGTTATTGTAATTGGTAACAAATGAAACACTTTTGAGTACAAAACATATACTCCCACTGTCCCTTTATTTGTGTCGATGGGTTCATCAAAGATTCTCTAAATATAGGCAGAGGAGGAGTCCAGATGCATGGCAAACGCAGGGAATCTAGACATTCAAATGCTACTCCCCAGCGACAGTCAATGTGGAACGGAGGGAGTTTATATTTTATCGACCATCTAAATGTCTCTTTCGGCTGATCATTTAATATTTCGTATACATTTATACTTTATTTTTATTACAACTTTTCCATGTATAGAATGTATAGTTGGGGTTTTCTTACAACTTTGTCTCTTCAGTTTTTTTTTGGAAGAGAGGGAATCTTCACAATAAATTTGAAATAGCTATCACTGGATTTATCAAGGATTGACAATTTACAACGCTATGTTAATGCTTAGTAGCAAATATTTATAGTCTCTTGATACGGAAATAGCCCTTCTAGGAGCTAAGTTGGGTACATCCTCTGTCACCCTCCACACACACACCCCTTTTCAAGATTTTCAGACCTATGCTTTGTGAAATACTAACATAATTCGACAATAAAACTTTGAGCTAGGCAAACTCTAACAATCAACATTAATTTAAGGACTCACTACATCGATATGTGTAAAGGATAGTGGGCATACGAAAGAGATCCAGATTTATAGAACCTCATAGAATTATAAGAATGCTAAAGCTTAGTAGCGATCGATCAACGAGCAAGAGGCCGACAGGAAGCTTTACAAAATAAAATAGCTAAAAACATCTTCTAGGATATATAATCTTAGCTCATGATCTCTCTATTATGTTGTGGAGAGTATCACAAATAGAAGAACAAAACGATAGAGGGACTAAGTTCGTATAAGGCAAAGAAGAGCAAGGATTGCACACTTGTAAAGAAACTATATTGTACCTAAAATTGCAAATATGCTCCAAGCTACAAACATCCAATGCACGCAAAAATGGTGTCGATTACAAGTCTAACCACGTTATAGAAGTCCATTTCCAAAGTTACTCCATCCATTTCAAACTATAAAGACGTTTTGGCTTTTCTAGATACAATGCTTTTACTAGATATATCTAGACAGAGTGCTTTTACTAGATATATCTAGACATAGTGTATAAGTGCATAGCAAAAGCTATGCATCTAGAAAAGCCAAATGTCTTGTGATTTAGATTGGAGGGAGTATTGCTTTATTTTGTATCACATCAATACATCCACTATGATATGAACTTAGGCTATCTCCAACAACATTACCCAAAATACAAGACCCATTTTATGTTTGGGTAGTGCTACAGATAAAGGGTTATATATCTATTTTTTGTCTTCTCCAACAACAGGACCCAAAAGAGAACCCTTTCTGCAAATGAGTCTTCAGGAGAGAGGATACTCATATTTGGGTTGTGCTTTGCTGTAACATAAAATAGGTCTCACATATAGGTGCGCTGTTGGAGGTTGATACAATACCATTTGAGACCCATTTTGGATATGAGTGTCCATATGGGACAACCATGGGAGACAGTCTTAGAATTTCATTTCATGTAAGTTGTTAGGAAAGTACACGCGGAGCTCACATGTATATTAAGGTCCACAAGATTTTGATATGATCTTAATACAATGGAGGAAATTGCATGTGATGACACTATCAACGATGGACTATGCACAACAAAACCCTTCTTGGTCACTCTTTTCCATTCCAACAACTTAAATGGGTACTCACCGACGCGTACATCAGATAAAGTAAATTTTATATAAGCCGTTTTTTAACATAGCAATTGCGGTAAAAAAAACTATACAAAAGGAGTGTATATTATATATAAATATTGTATGTTTTTTTCACGTAGGGACATATATTTATGTGTATCAGTTTTCATTTAGGGGTATCTTCACAAAATGAGGGGGCGCCTTGCAGTTTTCTCGACCAGAAAAACAGAAATTAAATTTTGGAGGGAAAGAGAGAAGTTCTTTTTCCTTTTTTTTGAGAATTTTTTCTTTTGAATGTAGAGGGAGTTTGGAAGGGGACAGAGAAGCTGCAACCATATTCTGCGACTGGGCCCAAATGACTTCTGTAATGTAAGCCCATTCTACAAAGCCCACAGCGGGCAAACCCTGAGGCGCCCTACTCTATAAAGCACCAAACCCTAGCATCCTCCCTTCCGCATCGCAGTCATCCCCGAGAAGGAGCCGCCGCCGCCGCGCAAAGCCGCTTCGACGCCGTCAGTCCTCCTCGGGGCGCAACCATGGTGGCCGCAAAGAAGACGGTAACGATCCCATGCCCCGCGCTCTCACATCTGTCCCCCGTATCTCTCCCAGGAAGCCCCGTTTCTCCCACCTTTTTGTCGATCTGCTGCCGTCTTCCGGGCGGGCGGCAGAGTGGCATCCTGCTGCATTCCGCCTGGTCGCGTTTCTATCCTTGCAATTTCTGTTCTAAACTCTGTTTTTTCGTTGTCTGTTGTTGGTCTTGTGCAGAAGAAGTCCACGGACAACATCAACAACAAGCTGCAGCTTGTGATGAAGAGCGGCAAGTACACGCTCGGCTACAAGACTGTCCTCAGGACCCTCAGGAACTCCAAGTGTAAGGAAGCTCTCCCTTATTATAATGTTTCATGGATCTTAGATTAACTCTTTAGGAAGGTGGATCGGTGCCCACGGATGTATGCTTATGTTACTAGATGGTAGATTAATCCTGTGTTATGGTCAATCCGTGCCTATGCACTGTCCATCTAGTTGTTTTTTACTGCTCACCTTAGAAGTGCCCATTCTATGGGCATATGTGATAACCATTAGTTTCTATCTTGTTCATATGGGCTTAACAGTTGCTCTCTAGCTGGTGTTGGCATTATTATTATGCAGATGTACTGTACCTTTTTTAGTCCAGCTTAAGTGAATAGTCTTACATGTCACAATGGGAATACGACTTTGAGAGAAGGAGAATAGGGCATTGGGTTCATGACCTCAGCTACTATAACTTTGTGGCTACATGGACGCCCACCAAAATATTCTCTGGACAATGTATTTTTCTGGACATGTTATCTGAATGTTTTGCCCCTCTATGCCTTAATGTTATCAGTGGAGGATATGACGACCCTTTCCCCAGATGATCGACAGTGAACATACTGAGCGCTATAATTTCTCATTTGAGAAAACCAAGCCAGAATTCTAATCCTCCATTTTCCAGAAAAATTGATTCTGAATTTAGTGTAGTGCTTGTTTTGTTGCCTCTTGTCAAAATTAATGTTTATTTTTGTGCTTTTTTGTTCTTTTGACTGAGTTGCATACTCCACAGGATATGATGACCCTTTCCCCAGATGATCGACAATGAACATACTGAGCGCTATAATTTCTCATTTGAGAAAACCAAGCCAAAATTCTGATCCTCTGATTGTTCCTTGGAAAGACAATTTCTCTGGCTGTTTTGTTGATTTACTTTTTTTCTGTTACCTTTGTACACAGTCTGTTGTCACTGCTTGCTCTTTTGAAGTAACTATGAATTCTTAGCAACTATTTTTAAATGTGACTGTCGTTTGAGTTTTGCGTTGAAAACTGATTACCAATGGATGAATTAATATGGCCATTGTGTATGAGTCAACGCCACAATGATCCTCCCCATGTCGTGCATATATGGTACCAGTGCCTGATATCACTGGTGAGCATGAGTGTGGATATCTTCTGACTGATTTATATTTTAAGTTAATAGTGTTTTTGTGGATTGTGTTGTGTATTGTTTTGAATGTCTCCTATCCAGTATTTTAGATGCTGTAATTTGACTCCTTTTCTTTGCGTAACTGTTCCTTCCATGTGACAATACTTTCTTTAAATTTTGATGTGAGTACATACAAAACAGTACTGACATGTTCTCTGAATATTTTTCCCCTTTATACCTTAATGTTATCAGTGGAGGATATGATGACCCTTTCCCCAGATGATCGACAGTGAACATTCTGAGCGCTATAATTTCTCATTTGAGAAAACCAAGCCAGAATGCTGATCCTCAATTTATGCAGAAAAATTGTTTCTTAATTTCATGTAGTGCTTGTTTTGTTGCCTCTTATCAAAATTGATGCCTCTTCTGTGCATTTTTGTTCTCTTAACTGTGTTGCACACCTAAGAGGATATGATGACCCTTTCCCCAGATGATCGACGATGAACATACTGAGCGCTATAATTTCTCATCTGAGAAAACCAAGCCAGAATTCTGATCCTCTGATTGTTTCTTGAAAAACAATTCTTTTGTTGATTTACTTTTTCAATATACTTCGGTGTATCAATATTCTTAGTGTTCTGAATTCCTTAGCTTTTTAATCTGTTAGCTTGTACACGATGCCTGTTGTTACTGCTTGCTCTTTTTTGAAGTAACTATGTATTCTTAATTGCTATTTCTAAATATGTGGCTGTCATTTGAGTTTTGTGTTGTAAACTGATTACCAATGGATGAATTTTGATGGCCATTGTGTATGAGTCAACGCCATTATGTTCTTCTCCGCGTGGTGCATATATGGTACCTGTGCATGATATACCGGTTGAGCATGAGTGGGGATATCTTCTGACTGATTTATGTTTTTGGTTTATAGTGTTTTTGTGGATTATGTTGTGTACAATTGTTTTGAATATCTCCTGTCCAGTCTTTTAGATGGTGTAACTTGTTTTGACTCCTTTGCTTTCTTAACTGTTTCTTCCACATGACAATGCTTTCTTTAAATTTTGAGTGAGTACATACAAAACTGTACTGCATGCCGTTTACAATAGAATTCACACACTATCATTTGTTATATAGCATGCCTGTAATATGCCTAAATCAATCTATTGATTTACAGCAAAGCTAGTGATCATTGCTAACAACTGCCCTCCGCTCCGGAAGTCTGAAATTGAGTACTATGCTATGCTGGCTAAGGTCACAGTTCACCACTTCCATGGAAGTAAGTTAGCATCTCTTACTTTTGGTTTTTTAATCGATGTTGCATATGATCTAGTGAAATGTCGAATTTTCAACTGTAAGTAGGCATGGTACCTTTTGATTTAGACCCTGATTTACATGTATTGTGTTGGAATGTCTAGCCAGTTGCCGAAAAGCACAAGAATCAGTCATAGACCTAGGGGCCATTGCAACCACATATATATGCATGTAAAAGCTTAAGTTAATTAACAAAAATGAACTGGTAAAGATCATTTTGGCTTTTTTGAACGCATAATGCTACTAATTGGCTCCTAAAAATATATTTATGGCTCTGCCTCTAACAAGAATTTACATTTTAAGGTAAGTCAAGTAATTTCTAAGAGGAATAACTAAATGATGTGCATAGCTGGTTCCTAGCAATTAACTGTTTTTGCGACAGTTCTGAAGTCTAACTCCATTTTCTTGTTTTCCAGACAATGTTGACCTGGGAACAGCCTGTGGAAAATACTTCCGTGTCTGCTGCCTCAGTATTATTGATCCTGGTAAATGGCTCCTCCGTATCACAGGTCAATTTGATGTTTTGATCAAAATATGGATACGAAGAGTGATTGTTTCTGTTTTCAGGTGATTCTGATATCATCAAGACTACGCCGGGTGAGCAGTAAGGAAGCTACACCAGTAGTACTCAGGCACCTGGCTTCTGTAGTGTAGCGGATCTTCTTGCTGGACTTGTCCTTTATTGTGTTCCGACAGAATTTACCTGACAGTAAACAGTTCGTGGGAATATTGTCTTGTCTTGGATTGAAAATTTTGTTCTTGGCAATTGACATTGTTGAATGGATCTTTTGCTGAATGTGCTCGGATTAGAGCTAGTTTTCATTTTACTTTACTGTCATTCCACTGTTCCACTCATTGCTGCCTCAAACAAGGTATCTAGTCGTTGGTTTTGTGCTCTTGCCATCCTCCACCGTTTATGTTAGGCAAGTCCTAAGCGAAAAGTGGCTCACTGATTGTGATAGTAAAAATCCCATATTTTAGTGGTAGTGGTACTGTTGTTATAAGAATATGGCAACAGAATATTTGCGGGTCAAATTGAATGAACATATTCTGGTATTTGGTACTGTTATAAGAATATGACAGCAGAATATTTGAGGGTCAAATTGAATCAACATATTCTGGTATTCAATAATTCCATTTGTATGCATGCCTCGTGCGTTTTGTAGGCGAACTCCTTGCACGAGAAGTACCTTTACCACTTTCTGTATCTTCATCTCATAAAAATGTCTGATCTTTATGTTTGTGTATTTTTTTAATAAATAATAAATATAGTTAAAACTATAAGCCTGATTTATGACGTAGCTAAAAGGACTTGCAATCTACTATATATATTGGTGGGACTACTTCAACACGATTTCCGGAGCAAATGACCACAAGCTCTGTTTCTAATGTTGCCACTCTCCAAACACCAAAGCTACCCTGCTCGTTTCTGTTTTAAGCCGCAGCCAGTGCAGTACATTGCCTTGGTGGCACGCAATATGCTGTGGCGTCACTGCCATATAAACGTGACGTCTCTCTACGGGGATTAGAGAATGCTGTGTCCATTCTAGCTTCTTTTTAAAGTTCAATATTTTTTGGGAATTAGGAGACTAAGTTAAATAAACACAAAAAGTCAGGCAGACCATCATACTTTCCTCTTCCTTCTCTCCCTTTCCATTTTGCTCTCTTCTCGGGTCTCCAAAGTTCCCTTCGTCGTCTGATGACCTTCGGCGTTTCTCGACTTCTTGCTTCCTTATCAAAATCTGATTGTTTTTTTTTGGTCCCTCGATTGGAGATGCAACAGGACGTGGGATGATGCCGCGCTCGTCGTTCGGCTGCTCCCACATGGCCGATACGACAGTAAGGACAGTTCCGCCCAGAACGACCAAAATTGAGCGGAATGGACGAAATTGCTGGGAATGAAGTCCGGTACGGGATGCAGTATGATCTGTGCCATTTTGGTGGGCTGGTAAATAAATTGAGAAGCTTTATTTTAGAAGGGGTGATTTCATTCATTCATAACCACAACGAGTATAAGTTACGTATAGAAACCTGATAAAAAAGGAAATTACAGTGATGCTACCACAAGTTCTGTCCAGCAACACTCTTTCTTCCTCTTCGATCGCCATCTCCAAGCAAGTTCGAAGGAACTAGAGCTAAGACACACCCTTAGCTGATGAGGTCCGAACATGAAGGCCATCACATTTTTTGAAGCCACTACCATCGGCGCCTCAAAACCGAGATGTGTTAAGATCACTGAACGAATAAGGCAACATCACGAGATGTGGTAGAAGAAACCTTCCCTGAGGAAGTATGAGCAACATCTTTTTTCGCGATCGTGCCTGGGCACATATTTCATTAAGAAGAATAGAGTTTGTTACTGGAGGCGGGCGCGACAGTAATTCGGGGTTACCGAGCGCCGACCGAAAGCGAGCGCGAAGGCACACGAGGTTGTAATTGTCATACAAATTTCGCGACCGTTATTACAGGGCTCAAATTGACGCCATCAGTGCACCGAGGTGCTTGTAGCCCGTCATGCACCAAGCGTCAGCTTCTTCCTGGATGGAGACCTCAAGACGCGCCGCCGAGGTTGACACTCCATTGAAGGTTCTCGCATTGCGTTCTTTCCAAATGGACCAACCGATGAGGAAGAAAAGGGAGTCAAACCCACGGCGGAGCTGTTTTGGTAGCGCCTTCCTGCATCGCAGCCACCATGGGATAGCCGGTTCATCTTGAACAACGACGGTGTACTGCAGGTGTAGCTTCCTGAACCAGGCTTCCCAGACCTCGCGACTGAAGGGGCATCCAAGAAGGATGTGGTTCAACGTTTCGGCGCCCTAGTCGCAGAAGATGCATGCATTCGAATCTTGCAGACCATGGCGGAACCGTCTATCCGCCATTCAGCATCTGTCGTGCATGACCAACCAAAAGAAGAATTTAACCTTCGGTGGCGCCGATGTTTTCCATATGTGCTTAGCTCCAAGTGGCGATGATGATCCGATAAACATACCACCATATGCAGATGCTGCAGAGTAGCACTGATCGGCGGTGAACCTCCAGGCGAAGGTGTCCGGCTACGTCGATAACTGCACCCCCTCCAATAGGTCGTACAGGCGGTCGAACTGGAGCAGGACCTGCATGGTTAGCAGCCCGGTGATGTGTCGGATCCATGCGTTGTTGTGTAGGGCCTCGGCAACGGTGGCCCTCCGCTTTCTCGCTTTCACCGCGGCGAAAACAGCGGGAGCAGCATCCTCAATGCTGCGGCCGTCAAGCCATCTGTCTGTCCAGAAGAATGTGGACTCTCTATTCCCAAGCATGAATACAGTGGCCGCCTGGAACACGGCAATAACTGCCCATTCCTTCGAAGCCAGGGCGGGTCGACGCTTCACTCGCGCCTGCCACTCCCAGCGTACTCGTAGGGCGATCCCGGCACGTCGTAGGTCAGAGACGCCGAGGCCACCGAGGTCCCTGGGGTGACACAGTCTCCCATGCCACCTTGCACTTTCCTCCTGAGACTTTGTCTGAGCCACACCAGATGAAGGCGCGACGCAACTTGTCAATCGACTCGATCGCCCAAGGCGACAAGCAGAGGACGATGGACATATGCGTCAGGATGGCAGACATAGTTGCTTTCATCAGAGCCGTTCGTCCAGCAATGTTGAGCATATTGCCCTTCCATTTCGGTATTCTTGCAGGGACTTTATCGATGAGAGGCTGCTCGTCCGATCTCTTGAGCCTCCGGACTAAAAGCGGCGCCCCCAGATAGCGACACGGGAGGTCCTCGATCCGGCAGGAGAGGATATCCCTAACTCTGGCAATGTCGTTCTCCGAGCAGTGGAGCGGGGACGCTACACTCTTGTCGAGGTTGTAGAACAGGCCTGACGCTAAACCAAAAATGGTGAGCATTGCCTTGATGACCTGTAGGTCCCTCACATTAGGAACCACGAACAAAACTAGGTCGTCAGCGTACAGACTCATCCTGTTGCCGACACTGTCATGCAGAGGTGTTAGAAGCTGCTGCTGCTCTACCATTTTAGGAAACAGTTAAGGACCTCCATGGTGAGCACAAATAACATCGGCGAGAGTGGGTCTCCTTGGCGAAGGCCGCGGGCATGGCAGATTCGCCTCCCCGGGCGGCTGTTGAGCAGAATCTTCGTGCTTGCAGTGGCCAAGATTATTGAAATCCAATCTCCCCATCGCTGGCCGAAACCCATGTGTTGGAGGACTTCTAGGAGGAACGACCATGAAACCATGTCGAAATCCTTTGCTATATCAATCTTGAGCAAGATGGTCGGCGACTTCTTTTCATGGATGGCTTTGCAAGCGATCTGCACATTCCTGAAGTTATCATGGATGCGACGTCCTTTGATGAAAGCGCTCTGGTTGCGCAGGACGAGAGCATCCAGAATGCCTGCTAGCCTGTTGGCCAAGCACTTGGTGATGAGCTTGCTGAAACTGTGTATGAGGCTGATAGGGCGATAGTCACGGATCTCCGTCGGATGTTCCTTTTTTTAGTAGTATCATGTAAGCATCATTCAGGTGATTGAAGCTACGACAGTCCAGCGATCAGAAAGCATTGAAGGCGTTCATGACATCCATCTTGATTGTCCCCCAAGCCTTCTTATAGAATAGGTCGGTGAAATCGTCCGGTCTCGGAGCCTTGTCATTCGGCAGATTAGCAATGACTGACCGAACTTCCTCCTCGGTGAACAGGTGCTCGAGCTCTGGCCTTGCTATTTGCGGCACCCCAAGGTCTGCAGATCGAATCTTCTTGAACGCTCAAAGTTTGCTCCAAGGACGCTGATGTAATAATCGTAGAGTGCATCGGCCATCGCTGCGTTACTGACAACATCCGTCCCCTGAACGCGCAGCGCGTCAATCCGGTTCTTTCGGTTCTAGTGACAGGCTTGTAAGTGATAAAACTTCGTGCTAGCATCTCTTCCCGCCAAGAAGAACAGACGCGAACGTTGCCTTGCAATCATGCGCGCCAAGGACGCCAGGCCCAGGACCCGTAGTTTGAGGGATTTTCGAAGCTCAGCCTCCCAGGGTAACAGAGTTCTAGACTCCTGCTCCTGATCAAACCTCTGATGACTTCACGGGCCATGGCGAGCTGTAGGCGCACACTGCCGATCTTGGTGTTGCTCCACCGACGCAGTGCTTTGGCAACATTCCGAAGCTTGAGGTCTAGGACGCAAAAGGGGTCCGCATTTATCACACTTGGTTCCCATGCCACAGCAACAACATCGTCGAAGCCCGGCAATTTCGTCTAGAAGGACTCAAACCGGAACCTACGCTTTAGATCGGTGTTGACCTTAAGCTGTAGTAGCAACGAACAGTGGTCTGAGCAGTCCGAGGATAAAGGCTTGAGCATGTGGTTCGAGAAGGCCGCAAACCAATCCATCGATGCAAACATGCGATCAAGCAGTTCTAGTGTTGGTCTTTCCCTTTCGCTGGACCACGTGAACCTTCTACCGACCAAGTTCAACTCTTCGAGGTTGACCCTGTTGAGGAACGCACGGAAGCGTCTCATGCAGCGGCGATCTAGCCTGCCGTTGTTCTTGTCTTGCGTGCGGTAGATCATGTTGAAGTCCCCGCAAAGGAACCAGGGCCCCGGGTGAGAGTCCCGAAA